TTTCAACCTATCAAACCAAAAAGTGAAGACGATGAACTAGCCAACTACGGACAGAAGAACTTCAAAACAGAGCAAAGGACAATGAGCAGCAAGCAGCCAACTTACAATTTTTCCAAAATTCTGCAGCAGTGTTACTAAAATGGCTTTGTATCAAGGACTTTTAAAGCTTGTACATTGACTCTTAAGGTCTGCTGGTGGTCTGATAAGCCTGTCCCTAACATGTGATACAGTTTGATGAGTGGGAAAATATTAGAGCATGTAAAAAGATCTTAGCAACCACAAATAAAAGACAACGTCCAATATGCCTAAAGTTTGCTACGTTATACTTGATGTTTTGGTCATGTTCTTGCTTGGTCATTTGCTTTGTCAAATAAAGATGAGTGTCTAATGTGTCTAATGTGACTCCAAGATATTTACATTCAGATACTAAAGCAATCCCTTCAACCCTAATCAAAATGTCTGGGATTGGAGTATCGACTTTTGTTTCAGAAAAGAAAATTCACTTTTACTTGCCAATGTTCAAACTTTGACAACATAGACAATTTCTGTTGGAAAGCTAAGATTCGAAGCCACCAGAAGAGTAACCATTAATGCTTGGTGGGTTAACTACTGGAGAGAGGAGCACAACAAGCAGAAATGTTAGAGTGATAACTATCCTGTGTTTCAACCAGAAGGGTCATAAACTTTTATGACCTCCTGTAGGTCATGAGGCAGAATCACACGTTTGTGTGACTTCCATCCAGCCAGTTGGTCAATTCACACTATCTTGTTACCTGCATCCTCTCAGACAATCATTATTGGGTCTGCTGTTTTAGGCCCGGCTGTTTGATGTTGTAAACTGTTAGTAAAAGGCTTTGCTATGAAGGGATCTGTGTGAGAAGGTGCTGTTTTTTTCCGAGCCAGCATCTTCTCTCCACCCGGCACACGCTGACGTCACAAAACCCTGTCTCTGTGTTGATCATTTTCCTTTTAATCTTTTAAACTCACATTTCTCTGGATTAAAACCCAACAACAAGCAGAAACAATCAGCATAACTCAGGCAGTTGGAAGAAACACAAGTGACAACATCACATTTACATCTACTTATAGCTCTCTCTGCCTGCATGGGGAGTATGGCAGGTTTAGGAAAGAAACTGCTCTTGTTACGGACTCGGGACATGCAGGGCTGATGACATGTTTTTAATGGAGGGAAGAGGAGCCTCGATGATCCTCTCTGCTGTTCTAACCACTCTCATTTTCTTCCAGTCTGAGATGCTGCAGCCTCCACACCACAGTGAGACAGCTGGTCAGAACGCTCTCTATGGTGCTTCTGTAGACGGTGGTGAGGATGGGTGGGGGCAGGTGGGCTCTACTCATCCTCGCAGAAAGTACATGTTCTTTTGGGCCCTTTTGATCAGTGAGGTGGTGTTTACAGTCCAGGTGAGGTTGTCTGTGATGTGCACCCCCAGAAATTTGGTGTTGCTGACCACCTCTACAGCTGAGGTGGTCAGCAACTGAGGTATCATGAGTTGCTTTTGTCATGTTTTTTTTAATCTTTACTTGATTTTACTCTGCTTTTATGTTTCTTGTAATGTATTGTTTTATTCATGTAAAGCACTTTTAATTGTCCTTGTAAAAAATTGTGCTATAGAAAAAAACTTTTCTTGCCTCATACAAACAAGTAAAATAAAAAAAAAAATACACAGAATTCTGCAATTTAATTCTACACTCTGTACTAGATGTTGGCAGCAATTCACCATTAGTTGTTTAATACAGGTAAAACACCTCACAAAGAAGATGAAGGCAGTGATGAGTGAAATGGCAGTGATTCTATTTTATGAGACAACTGTGTCAGCTTAACATATTTTCATGACCCCACTTTGCAATCTAGGGTGGGAATAGCAACAGCTTTGCACATCTGTATTTCCATTTCAATCGAGATTCAAAGTGGAAAGGTTCCCCCTTTGTGTTGCAGCTTGCATGAATGTGTCGATCGGCACCAGAACCTGCTAATGACGAAGCAGCTAGCTGCTAATAGATGAGGTTAATCTGCAGCAGACCCAAACTGATTATCCTTATTCAAAGCCAGGCCACTAACCCTCAGATTGCAGCACATGTTTAAACAAAAGAAGAAAGATTATTTCAGAGACATGAAGTGGTGAGGCCACCCACCATCCTCAGCAGCACAGACTGAGAGATTAAACCCTACTGTGGGACCAAATGGAGGCTAGATGGAGGGGCACTGGGGATAAACTACGTCTAGACTGAATTACAGGACACGTGCCTGAACATCCGAGGCAGCTGGGGCCAAAGCTAACATGTCTGTAAATAAGCAGAGAACCTATAGCACAGCTCTGAACCTGATACTGACTCGTAGAGAAACTGATTCATGATTGCCAGCTTTGTGCCTAAAGAGGAGAGTTTTCAGAGCCCATCAGTGCCATGATGGCTGAGTGGCTGTAGGAGTGCTTGTTTGTGTTGGACTTTTCCTGTGAATGTGAGTAAAAGCTTTCATAATAAACGCTGCAGCTCCCTGCACTGCCTGCTGGCATTAGAGCAAAAACCTTCCTGTAAAGGTGCGTCTATGCATCTACATTCTTTGGTGTGTTAAGTAGGAAACAGAGTTGCTAGGGACAACAGGCCAGCTGCAGAATGATCCGTCTCCACAAACGCTGCTGGAGCCTCGGGGAAGTGGATCTTTGATCTACTCTGTAGTGCACACTTTGAGGCTAGTGAAGAATGATCTGTTTGTCATTGAAACATAATTCTGACACAGCTTAGATAGGCTCAGCCTGGTCTGCAGATGAGTTAAACATGCATGGATGGGGCTGTTTCTTCAGCCTGGCTCATGGCTGGGAGTCACAGGAAGCAGTTAAAGAGACAACCTAAAGCCTGCAGCAGCCTTTCCATAAGGAGGCTGCTGCAGGCTTTAGGTTGTGCCTTTAGCCAGGCATAAATATTGTGATAATTCTGAGCAGAGGTTGAGGTTTCAAATGATTTTAAAGACTCACATAAATCACATAAATGCAACAACTCAAGAGAATCAAAATATCTTGGTTTATGTCTTAAATTCCAAATAATTCAGGACAGAATCCAGAGTGCGAAATACGGGGGGGGGGGGGGGGGGGGGGGTGTCCGGGGGGGCTCGACCCCCCCCCCCCCCCCCCCCCCCCCCCCCCCCCCCCCCGATTAACCCATGAGCCCCCCTGAAAGCCTCAAAAGCAAAATTTAAGGGGGGTCTTAAATTGTGTCAAAAAAAATTTAAATAAAATGTTCTGGCTCCTTAGGAAGCCATTGATCATATTTGCGTATTGTTTCTAAGTTATACTATAAGCTTTCTTATGTATAATATTTTATATAGTCTTATTTTAAAAGCACCGGAAGTTGAGCAGTTGGTGTCTTCCTGTTTAACCAGTAAACACTGCATAGCTAAATCTGTTCTCACTGTGCTGCGTTTTTGGCCAGTACAGCATGTAAAGTTGATGTAAAGGGTGTATTTCGTTTATGTACATATAGTACTATGTTTCATGTTGTGTTTGGAGGTTTATTGCAAGAAAGGTCACCGAGAAGAGAAGTTTAAAAAGCCGCTAGCATACGCGCTAACTAGCCGCTAGCATACGCGCTAACTAGCCGCTAGCATACGCGCTAACTAGCCGTTAGCGATGCCGCTAGCTAGTGACTAATGTTAACATGTTGTTTATGTCATTATGCGTTTCTGTACATATTCAGGGAATATGTTGAGTTTATTATTTAGGAGGATTGTGCCTGTTTATTTGGAATTGTGCCTTTTAACACAAAGACTTATGCACATTATTTCTTTGTTGCAGTTTTACCATTCATTCATCCATCCATACCAGCTAATAAATGCAAAGAAAAGGCTTAAGGTGTGGTTATTGGAAATGATGGTTATCTACCTGCTAAGCTAAGAGTGAGGACAGGACATAAATTATTTTTTTGTTACTAATGGTCACTAAAATGTTTTTATGCTCAACATGTCCACTATTAAAATCCAAAACCTTTATTCACAAATATGCTCTGTTTTTTTTGGGAAGTGGAGCCAGCCAATCCTGTTCGCGTATGCAAATTAGCCATGTGCTTTTCTGCAGTTCCGCAGTCTTTGTGCATATGTGTGTTTTCATAGACTGTCTATTCATCCTACTTCATCCACCAAGCTGTCAGGAAGCTGAGCCCCCCTCAAAAAACTGTCTCCTGCACTACTATTAATACTATATTTATTTACTGTTCTTTTGCACTGTTACTGTTACAAATGCTATATCTTACATAATTGGTAATAATAATAATTTTTCTGCTGCCATTACCATCTGCCTTTTTGCACTAGCATAAGTATTGCATATTTTATATTGTACATTTTATATTTTATTGTGAAATTGAATGTTTAAATTTTAGTATTAGGAACTGATCTTATCTGTTGTGCCTGTGCACTTTATCTGCTTCACTGTTGGTGAATGAGAAACGAACGTCCTCTCCAGTCCTTGTATGTCTGGTGAATCTGAAGAATTTACATTAAAGCTGACTTTGACTTGGAAATGTTATAGGCCTACTCCATATTGAGAAAATTTAGATCGGTATTGCGCAACAATCGGGAGATGGGGACCCCCCTAAATATTGACAGGTATTTCGCACACTGACAGAAATAAATACATTATCAGAGAGTGCTTCAAAAAATAAGGACTTGCTTTAATTTAGGATCAAAGATGGCCGTCAACAGGAAGCAGACGTACCTCAAACTTCACCTATTATCACTTTTAGACAGCACATTTAATAACCAAGCCTCTAAGCCATATTTTTAATCTATGTGTTAAGGACAGCATTTTTCAAGCCTGACTTTAAAGGGGTCTGTGGAAACATTCTCCACCTGATTCCCTGCCTTCAGTGGATTCTGATGAAGATCTTTCTGGCCTCCAGCTGGCTGCCTCTTTGTTGTGCATTCAGGTCAAACTGTTCAGCTTTTACTCCGTTGACATTTAAAAGCTCAACAATGGGATTTCAGCTCCGCATACCTGCTCTGGTCCTCCTGAATGTAGAGCGCGAGCAGCTGCTTGGGGATGGTGAACGAAAGAGTGCACTCCTCCATCTGTTCCCGCACCAGCATCCACTTGCTGTCCATCGTTTGAAATCTGTACAACTTGCATACTGGGTTTCTGAACACTGTGAGAGAGCAGGGAGCAAAAAGGGAAAAGATGAATATTGATTTCTCTGATGGAGCAGCAGATAAAACACATGCTAGCCAAGGAAATCCTCGGGGTAATCCTTCCAAAATTTAGCAAAGTCAAATAGTGCAGTGACAGCTGCTCCCCTGAAGGACACAGCATAACAGGAAGACATCAGAAGTCTTTAAAAGTCACAGAAGGTATGAAGCACAAATTAAATTCTATAATCAATAGCTGTGTCTGCCAAAGATAAGACATTTCTCATCTTCTAAGCCCCTCTTCCTCTCTCTCTCTCAATGTCAGCAGAGGAGTAGTGTGTACACCAAAATACACAGCCTTCATGTCGTTAATCTTTGCCCCAATATCTCCTTTCCCTCCATTTTAATTACTTATTTACTGTATGACACCACGGCACAGACCATACAAGTTGGTGCTGCTAACTCCACCAACCTGATTGACATTCTGCACCATCTTCCTCCTCTCCAACAGAGTTTCTAATAGCAGCGATCGAGGGGCTGAAAAACGAAAAACAGCCCTTATCTGCATGCTTGCAGCAGAGGGCGAGAAAGCTGTCAGCCTTAAAAGTGTTTACTGCTTCTTCCTTTAGCCGAATAAAGGAGACGCTCAATAAGACGGAGCCGAAGCCCCCGAGGTGAAACGTTGACAACTTTGTGTCATGATGGTCACAATGCGTGGCAGGAAGATGTTTTCGTTTTCATTTAAAACTGGGCTTTACATTTTTGGAGCAGCTGACTTCACAGAAACTGGTGCTGCACAAACTTAAACTGGTAATTTAGGATATTAACAAAGTTCTAACTGAAACTTTTTTTTTTCCGCTTCTCTGAGTGGCAGGATCTGCACCCTGAATGCTGCTACTTCTTTTTAAATGCGCTGTTTAGTAGCTGTGACTTTATGGGTTAGACAGTTGTTGCTAAAGATGCTTTTAAAAAGATGCCAGACTGCTGTCAGCTAACATGGTGAGTTTTGTTTGCATCACAACAGTTCACACCAGCAGCAGAATGACAACATAATGGCAGCTGCATGATCAGACTGATCTGTGACATCAAAACCACACAAAGTAGATGACTGGTTGACATAAAAAAAATAAAACTACATTTACTGAACTCCAGAGATATGTTTGTTAAAAAAATATATTGATGTGAACACTGGTTAGGTAGGTATGAATAAAATTTCAATATCATATCTTTATGTTTGAAGCTTCAAATTTGGGAAAAGGTAGAGATGTTCAAGGGGGGCTAATACTTTCACAAGGCATTGTATAAAGGAATATAAAATGGTAAAAAAATAATGGAACCAAAGTTGGACTGAAAACTAAACTAATGCTCTGATCTCAGTTTAAACAAACACGTTTATAATCTGGATTAAAGCCACAGAGGGTTTCAGCTCTTTTCTAGTTTATTCCAGATTAGTCCAGCAGAAGAACTAAAAGCTGCTTTTCCTTGTTTGGTTCTAATCCAGCAGAGCTGATAGGTCTGGCTGTTGATCCACTGCCAAACAGTCTGTAATGTATTTTGGAGCTAAACCATTCAGTGATTTCTAGACTAACAAAAGGATTTTAAATTCCATTCTCTGAGATACGGGGAGCCACAGGAAGGACTTTAGAATGGGGCTTATTTTCTCCACTTTCTTAGTTCTAGTGAGGACGCAGGCAGCGGCATTCTGGATCAGCTGCAGCTGCTGATCCACTTGTTAGGCAGACCTGTGAGGACACCACTGCAGGGATCAATTCTACTAAAGATGAATGAAACAGGAATCAGTTTTTCAACATTAGTCCTTTAATCTCGGAGATGTTCTTTGGGTGATAGAAGGTCAACTTTGTACCTGTCTTTATGAGCCTCTGAAGGTCCAGGTCTGAGTTATCACCACACCAAGATTTAGATCCTGATTGCTAGTTTCCAGCTGGGTGCTAACTTTTAAATGCTCTTCTTTTGGTCCTAAAACGATTACTTCAGTTTTGTTTGATTCAATTGAAAAACCTTTTGTTCATCTATGGGTTGATTTATTCTCTTCATTTACACAGAGCTGGAATTGGTTCATAGTCACCTGTTGACACGAAGATGTACAGCTGGGAGTTGTCTACATCGCTATGGTAACTGATGATGTTGCTTATCAAGATCTGAGCAAGGGGGAGCACAGAGATACTGAATAGGGTCCCTCCTATTCAGTATCTCTATGCTGCCCCGTAAGATGGACCTTTGTGGAACACTGTGTGGGGTTTCTGATGTAAAGTTTCTTATTGACACTAAACAGTCTCTGTCGTCCAGGAGGATTTAAACCAGTCCAGTTCTGGACCAGAAAGGGCAACCCAGTTTTCCAGATGCTCTAATAAAATGATCAACAGTGTACAACGCTGATCTGCTGCTCTAGTTCTGCATTTTAAAGACCAATATTACAACAGAGACTAACTAACCAACAAAGCTACAGACTGAACCATGTGGGATTTGTTCTTAGCTATGACTCCCATTGAGCTGCTGAAGTTGTTTCTAATCTAGACGCTAAAGATCTGTTTTATCTGCTACCTATGTTAAAAAATTCTTTCCTCAGGAGAGAATTGGCTTATAAATGCCATAAATATTTATTTCTTTAGAGATGAATAAATTCACCCAGTTAGGGGCCTATTTGATAATACATTTACTTACAGTAATATTTGCAATTATTAGGCTTTGGCTGAAAACAATGATAGTTTTCTATCAAAAATTACAGTTTTGAATGAAACTTTTTAGCCTTAATTGTCATCAATGGATACCTGAAAATGTCATCAGTTTAGGTGTGAAACAGAAAAGAATAAAAATGCTCTCTAAAATGACAAGAACACAGCAGTCAGACCATAGAAAGGCTTTTATTTGCTCCTGTTCTACAGAAGAGGAAATTAATGAGGATTATAGTTAAGTCTGACCCTAAATCGACCCCTGATTAAGCTCATAATTGTATTTTAATGAGATTTATTGTGGGCATGAGGATTATAAAAAATTAATATGAAGACAAAACACAGAGTGAGAGGAAGAAGAATGGAGAGGAAAAACTTTAAAGCAGAGTAGTGATGGCTGTTGACTGTCTTTAGAAAAGCGGATTAACCCCTGCGCCCCCAGCCACACTAATCTGACCCTCAATCAGACGCTTCCATTTCACTTCCAGACACCTCTTAGGAAAATGACTCGGTGCAGCGCTGCGGCGCGCATGCCTGCACCTCTCTGCTCTGTACGCCCATCTTGAAAGCCAATAAATGAGGAAGAGTAAATTGCATTACGCAGTCTGCTGGAATCTGCAGGAAGGTATTGTTTCTGACAGGTTGCAGATGTGCACCTGCACGCGTTCGCTGCCATTCAATCGTTATTGGCTGCAGAAAATGTTAGTGACAATGACACCATCACAACAGGAGTTGGGCTGTAGGCAGACAGGAGGCTGGGAGGGAAGAACGGCTGCTTCCCTTTAAACAAGAAGCGGGGTGTTTTAGCACAGCTTCTCACATCTTCTTCTTTTTTATGTGATACAAGTTTGTGTGCAGAAGGAGAATTAGCTTCACACAACTGGATCCCTGCGGTCCGCTCAGCGCTCAGGCAGTTCAGAGAGCATCCAGGAGTTCATCTCCATCGTTATCACAGATCTTCTGCTGTTTGTTCTGACTGTAGAGACGCACCAGAACAGGAACCATCCAAACCCTTTATTCAAACACAAGAGGCTTTAGATCCCCTTTATTAAAGTTTGTTCAGAGGATGGTTTGATAGTAATTAGATGGAGAACATCTCTGACCCAAGTTTTAGGATTTTAACTCTCATAGAAGATTAAATGAATCAGAAACAAACTGCAGTGTTTTATCCTTTCTTTTAGCCACTTCAGCTGTCAGTGGAAACCGCTCTGAGCTGAGATCCATAATTAAGGGGGCTGTGTGAAATGAAATGGCAGCAGGAGAGAAAGGAAGTCCTGTTAATCCGAAAGAAATGAGGACTGCCTGATTCCTACCTGGCCCAGTTAGAGCGTCATCTTCTCTGAGGATGCAGGACGGGTCGGCAGGCTCACAGGCCGAAGGACACTGAGGACGAGAGAAACGGGGACATGTCAGTCTGTCCTCTAACAGATTACGACCACCTTCCAAACACGTTACCTGTCTTCATCGTTAAGCACTTATCAAAACAGTGGAAACAACAACAATACAGCTCAGTCCACATTGTCTAGTGTTGCCTCACACTGAAATGGATTGGAGCTTTTACCAAAATAAGGAATAAGAAATATTTTACAAAGAGGAATCTGCCCAATGTCGAGCAGGTTTGTATTTCGTCTCCTCACTCTTCCAGAAACAGCAGACTCTTCATCTTACAAAGCTGTGATCTCTCTAGCTCCTCCAGAGCTGCTGTGGGTCTCTGTTCTGCAGTTTGACGGCCATAACTGGAAAGCATAGCAGCTTCATCTCTGTCAAGTCCTCTTTGTTGCTTTTTAATTATAACCATCATAACCATCCCCTTCATAGAATGGTTGGATTAATTAATGTAAAATACACACATCCTCCCTGAGGAGAACCTGAAGATAACTGGTTTGACTGATCTTCATTCAGGACCATCAAGGGTTAAAGACTTAGACTCAACTTATTTATCCCCTGGGATTACTCCTTCAGGGAAATTCTGGTTCCAGTAGCTTGTATAGAAAAAAAGAGTTAAAGAAGGATGACGTTAAAGATAAAAATAGTGTATATTGTGCCAAAAAGGAAAAACAAAAGGAAAAAGGTTGTAATGTCCTGAAATATGATTCCCTTAGATTTAAAAATATCGGCACAGTAGAGAGCTAAGGAAAGAGTACGCAGTAGTTGATTTGGGTTATTGCACTTGCACTGCAGAAATTTTCCAACCATATAAATAAGTGGAAATTAAACAGAATACACAGTAGTTGCCATGTGTTATTGCACAGTGAGAGAGACGAATATTGCACATGATTAACAATAGGTAATTTTTTGCATAAGATGTCCAAGGAGGGGCATGCTGACCCTTGACACTCTTCCTATCACCTCATACTACCCCCAAATGAGGAGTTGTACAGCTTGATAGCTAAAGTAGAACCATCTCAACTTTGGAACAGTTAGCTCCCACTTTATGCTCTACCTTAAAACAAGAGGAATTAAAGGCACACTATGCAACATTTTTCAGTTAATTAATGTGTTCCATAACGTTATGGATGATTAAATGATTCATTTCAGGTTGAACAAAGGTATTCTCGGCCGCCCTGGTGGTCTGTGGGGGATATACTGCACTTGCAATTGCAGGAGCACCGACCCGCACCCACAGGCTCAGAAGTCTCGTGAGAGTCAGTCTTGCTTTACGGCCGAGAACTGCTACACCCCCCAGTTAAAAGCATTCTCGTTGCTAGCACAGTGGCGATGTTTGTGCAGTTATGCTACGTTCACGCAGCAAAAGCAGCAAAATCGCGTCTGCTTCTTCATTTTTGCTGCTTGTACCAGTTAGTTCTGACGCGCAGCTGAAGCAGCTTTGCTGCTCTGGCTGTGCGGTGCAAAAGTGTGTCTGACGCGCGTTGGGCGGAGCTTCACTATCCTTTCTCTGCCTTGCAGCTATATTTGCTGTGATCAGTGGGAATAAAGTAGTTTTAATATGTGTTTAAATGAGAAAATACACCTGAAAACGTAATCAGTGCCGTCAGTTCATTCAGATTATTATCCTGCCTTCAATATTTTTTCTGTCGGAGCCGCTCAGACCCCCACATACCAGCGGTGCGCCGACAGAAGGAACCCCTTCATCAGCAGCCTCTGGCCAGGTCACGTCCTCGCGGTTCACCGCGGCAGCTGGTAGGTGTTTTTCATCTAAATAATCCAAACTGCATATTCTGCCGGCAGATTTCTGCATTTTAAGTTAATTTAGGTGTCAATAAACTGTTTAAGAGGAGTGATCATAGCCTCTGATCATCAGCGCTGTGTCTCTCCCTGCTTCAGCTGCTCAGACGCGCTGGGCCTGCTGCTCCTTTGTTGCGCCTTGACGCGCGTCAACCACTGACTTTGCATGTAAACTCGCTGCTTCTGTCGCGCCAGCTGCGGTGTGAACGCAGCATTAGTCATTCGTTGCGTTCGCCTGTCTGCTAAGCTCAAAACAACCGCGCCTGGCTTGACGGAGAAACCAGGAGAACAGCTGTGCATATTTACGACAGTGCACTTTTACTTTCGCCCTCTGGGGGGAGCCTCGCTGGAAAATCAACACCGGTTGCATAGTGTACCTTTAAACTAATGTCCCTCAACTGAATCTGAAAAAAAAAAAAAACGATATTAGGAATAAAGCGAGTTGCTTCACCTTTCTGTTTTTCATCTGTTCGCTTTGGAGCAAATAGAATCTGGAATCTCTGAAACCATCGGCTCTGATGACAAAGCCAGCAGCCTCTGATGTTCTGCCACTTTTAAAACCATGCTGGACCTTGACTTTTCTTCGTCATTCAGACCACAAAAGGTTTAATCTGAAATGAAAGCAGATCTTTCTTCTGTTCCCTTCAGTTCTGAATGAGTCATTTTGGATTCTCCACATTAATATTTCATGTTTTATCAGCAAATATTTAATCACTTTAATAACCGTATGTCTGTAAGTCAACCTGTGGAATAAATTAAACAAAGTTGAACCATCAAATCAAAAAAAGGTAATTTAAATCTATCAGATAAATTATGTAACTAAGCAAAAGATGGATTATATTCTCAGTGATTTGTTTCTGTCATAAAGTGAAGCCTTAAATTGAAGACATTTCTCCATATTGTTTTTTTTTAAGGAGTAGCAAATATTAATTGCAGGGCCTCCCACTTGAAGGGGCAAAAAAGGGAAAGCATGCATCTCTAAATGGTTCGAAATATAACGATTCTTTTTTCTTCCTCAGTTTGGTAACTTTCAAAACAATCAGGATAGAAGGTGGGCGGCTGTCGTGTTCTGCTGTTCCACCTTCACCAAAGCGAGGCAGCCTCAGCTGCACCAGTTGCTTTTTATTTTGTATTCTCAGTATAAATTCCGACTCAGAAATATGAATTTAGTTAATTTGATTAGCACTTTTTTCAGCACAGCAATCGCCACCTCAAGCTCTCCGATAAGTGATGGCTAAAACCAGTCCTGGATCATAACCAAAGTTTTCTTCCAATATAATTTGTGTTGTGTATTTATTTATTTAGCAGAATTGTTGTTTATCTGTTGTATTTCAGACTTACTGTAGGAGTGACACCATCAAAGTGTTAAAGTGTTTTTAAAAATATCTTGTTAGATGCATATGAGAGATTTTTTAATCTTTGTCTTTAATTGTCCAAATTAACTCGGGTCCATCAGCACAATGTCTCCATCAGCGTTGAGGTGTAAACAGAGATAATCAGATCCGACCTGACTGACCCACAGTTTCCACACTAAACTCTTTTTAATTAAGCCCCCCTAAAAAACTAAGTAGTGTTAATCACATTACATTGGCCCTCATTCTCTCTACACAGAGAGCAGATAAGCACCACAGAAAATCAGTTCTTGAACTTGAGTTATTTCATAGTCATGCAAAGTTTAAATACAAATTCAAGACAGGAGGTATTTATTTGGTCATTTTGAATTAAAAGTATAAAAGAGTTTAAGTATCTTGGGATCTTGTTCACGAATGAGGGAAGAAGGGAGCGGGAGATCGACAGGCGGATTGGCGCAGCGTCTGCCGTGAAGCGGGCGCTGTACTGGTCCGTCGTGGTGAAGGCAAGGCAAGGCAAGGCAAGTTTATTTGTATAGCACATTTCATGTACAGAACAAGTGAACAAAGTGCTTTACATAAAACATTATAAGCAAAAGGGAAAGAAAACAATTAAAAACAATTAAAAGCGTGATTCAAAATTAAAAACATTTAAAATTAAAAAGAGAGAATACAGAGACGGGCGAATTTTTACTTTTGAATAAAATCTATGTAAATGCAGCTGAGAACAGGTGGGTCTTCAGCCTGGATTTAAATAAACTACCGTAAATCCTCTAATATAGGCCCGGGCCTTTATTTCACTCAAGTGCATCGCGGTCCAGGCCTTTATTGGAAAGAGGCCAGAATTAGAGACAGGCCTCTATTGCTATTTGAGCAAAACAGACTACCAGTGGAATGAAAAAAAATGAGATTTTATGTCTATTTGAACCTATAAAACACTAGGTTAATTTATTGAAAAAGTACAGTTACCATGTCTCGCTTGGTTTGAAGTAAAAAAGAAAAAAAAAATCCTCCAATTCTGTTTAATCCTCCTCCTCAGTTTCCTCCTCCTCTTCATCTCTCCCTTTAATCTCCTCATCACTCGCACTCCTCCTCATGTTCTGCTGCGTGTCTGTTCTCTTCCTCGCGCAGACGGGCAGCAGTCAGGGCCTGTCGTCCAGCAGCGCAGGGCTGTGGTACTTGTATGTTACTACCACAAGTATAATGTTGAGGTATGCCCGGAAAAAACGTTTATAGCCCCGGCCTGTATTAGAGACCGGCCATTATTTACCTCCTCTGACAGCGAGACCGGCCAATGTTAGAGTCCCGGCCGCTAATGGAATACAGGCCAATATTAAAGAAATTTACGGTAAGTGTTTCAGCTAATCTAAGATTTTCTGGGAGTTTGTTCCAGACATGCTGAACGCAGCCTCTCCATGTCTGGTTCTGACTCTGCGAACTGATAAAAGGCCGGATCCGGATGACCTGAGGGGTCTAGTAGGTTCATACTGGGTCAAGAGGTCACTGATGTATTTTGTGCCTAAACCATGCAGAGCTTTATAGACCAGCAACAGAACTTTAAAGTCTAAAGTGAAGAGAGAGCTGAGTCAAAAAGCGAAGCTCTCGATTTACCGGTCGATCTACGTTCCTACCCTCATCTATGGTCATGAACTCTGGGTCATGACCGAAAGAACAACATCACGGATACAAGCGGCCGATGGGTTTCCTCTGTAGGGTGGCTGGGCTCTCCCTTAGAGATAGGGTGAGAAGCTTGGTCATCCGGGAGGGACTTGGAGTAGAGCCGCTACTCCTCGACGTCGAGAGGAGCCAGTTGAGATGGCACAAGCATCTGGTTAGGATGTCTCCTGG